TCAGATCGATAAATGAAGGATATGTTAATTTTAAAATGAACGCTTAAGGAAATTCAGAAATAATAGATGAAACAATCGATACCAAAAACAAAGAAGGATGAATACTTGAAAAATAGAAAAGTTCCTATGATATTTTTACTAATTCTAAAACGAATTTAGAAAATTAATAGGCCATTACTAAAGAAAGACTCATTAACCAAAAATTAAAGACATGGAACCAGATAGTATAATGCGGAGAGAATAGATATCCAATATCAACAAAAAATATAGATTGTGAGGATAAATTCAAACTAAGAAATATATGGCAATCAAAGACATCATGAAATCATGAGAGAATGTTAAAAGTATGTTTTGAAAAAAGGATTCAAAAATAATTAAGTACCTTTTAAATTTGCAGTGAAAAGCATTTAAAAAAAATTTGTATTAATTATTTGTATCTTTTGATTAAAAGCAGCAGACGTTAGTATAATCTAGTTTTCTAGAGCAAGATGAAAAATTATTAACTTTTGCAGGATCTTATTAGATCAATTTTGTGATTGCGAATCTACCAAAAATTTGTAATATTTTAGAGCCTTCGACACCTTGTTGATGGAAAAATAAAAAAGAAAAGAGAAGAAAATAGGGAAATATTTTAAGTAATTGAATTCGACAATTGAAAGCAAATAAAAATCCTAAATATTAAAAGATCATGTTATGTGTTTATCTTAGATCTTTAATTGTTCAAATTGCTAGTTTATAAAAAGATAGGATAATAATTTTATCATTCTTGATATTATAGTTCTAACTTTATAAAAGAATTATGAAAAAAAGGAATGTAAAATTGAATTATATATTTTGCATTCATCGTTCACGCACATAATAATTTATTATGTAAAATTATTAATTTATCTATAAGTTTTGTGATTGAAGTTAATGAATTACAACGAGCTTATTTCGAGGTACAGAGCTTGAAAAAGAAGACATAAGTTTATGGATGTTTTTGATGAATATAAAAGAAATTCGTTAAAGTCTTTGATGATTTATGCCCCGCAAATCAAAAAATTTTTATAAATAGAATATGCAGCTTATTTTTATACTAAGAAAAAAGTCAATATAAATTACCTTTTATGGCTAAAATGCACTAATGTCTAAATAATTAAAAGTTTATTGAATAATATTCAAAGGTAATAATTAACTTTCAACTGAGGATTTATTAATTCAAATCCAACAATTTTTTTCAGGTAAACTTTAAGTAAATATTAAGCATTCCTGAATTGAGTTTTATTATAACACTTCAGCAGTTTATCTATACTTTAAACTGCAACTGATTTAAAGACGAGTATTAGAATATTTTTTAAAATTATTTGCTATATTCTAATCGATAATGAAAAAAAAAATCCTAATATAAAGCCATCAAACCCCAACTTTGAATAATTTAGTCTGTTATATGGTTTAAGATGAATTAATGTTGATCAAAAAGAACTGAAAGTGTTAAAAAAAAGGACTAAAAATCTAAGAAATTTTAAGCAACAATAAACTTTGACTATCTATTATTTTTGTAATCAAAAACACTATTGTTTCAAAATATATTAGTTTAATCCAGAGCTCCTTGAACATATAGGTTATCTATTTCTTTAAAAGATGTAACCTGAGTAGATAAACTAGGCCTAATTAATTTATGAAATCATCAGA